TTAATGATTAATTTTTCATGTTGTTAGTGATGTTCTGTAAAAAGCGAATGTCCAGAGTTTATGGGCTGGATGGCTTATACTTCTCTGTTTATTTTCAGCAAAAAAACCAAAACCAAAACCAAAACCAGAAAAATCCCCCCTTTTTAATAACAGATTTTTGTTTCTAGGTAAATCATCAATGTTTTACCATTAGTTGGAAAATGTATTTGTATTTGAAGTTGATACTGTGTAATAGCTGTGATGCTGTATCTCTACTTCTGTCCCAGTTAAAGACAGATGTGTCTATGGAGTTCAGGCTTTTTGTGCTTGTAATTATACCAGTGGACACCAGGCTTGTCTGTATGAGAAGGATGTATGTATAAATCGAGGCCAAAAGTGATCACTGGCCTGGTATCAAGAGTGGAACATTAAAAAGATAAAACTTTTCAAAAACAATGAAAAATTACATGCCACAAATACTATGAGAGAATTCTCAAGTGCTATATTCATGAAAAAGAAGGCAATCCAGTGATTTGATTTGGAAAATAATTCATTTCTTTACAGAGTAAATGTTCTGAAGATATGTTGTAAAAAAGAATGCATTGTCTAAAAGTAGTATTAAAGTATATCCACAAGGAACTTCCACAAGGAAGAATATAGAAAAAGAGAAGCCATTTAGGGGACATAGATGAAAGTCAGAAACTAAATATGTAGAAATAGATTTAAATATAAACTGAAATTGTTGGTTGTGTTGGAGGCAAAAAAAAACCCCACCCCACTCTGTGCCTATACTGAAAAGGGAGTTGGCAGAGAAGAGAATATTTAGGCTGATGTAGGAAAACTGAAAAGGAACTTGTTGAGTATGACTATATACCAAGTATTGATCCAGTTGTTAGGATTAGAGATTTATGAAAACATTCAAAACTCTGCACTTCTGGAGCCTGCGTTATAGAGGGTGAGAGAGAAAATGTCTTAGGCCATTTTGTGTTATTAAACACAATACTTCACACTAGGTAGTTTATAAAAAAAAAAAAAATTTCTCATGGTTCCAGAGGCTGGGAAGTCCAAGATTAAGGTGCCAACATCTGGTAAAGGCCTTCTTACTGTGTCCTCATATGGCAAAAGAGTCATAGGGAGCCATTTCCCTTGGTTAGGCCTCTTTATAAGGATACCTAATTCTATTCATGAGAGAAACACCTAACCTGTTAAAGGCCCCATCTCTTAATACTGTTACCTTGGCTATACCTGAATTTTGAAGGAGACACATTCAAATCATGTGTGTGTGTTTGTGTGGTTTAATTATACAATTATAATTAACATATATTAATAATATATAATCCAATATATAATATACTATAGTTATATAGTGAAAGAGAAGTTAGGAAACCTCAATCAGGGACTAAATATGTAGAAATAGATTTAATCCATATTAAAATAGTAGTTGGAGGGCTGGGGATCTAGCTCAGTGGTTCCACTGCCTGCCTCGCAAGCAGAAGGACCTGAGTTCAATCTCTGATACCAAAAAAAAAAGAAAATAGTAGTTGGAGCCCTGGAAGTGATTGGTCTTTTACTAAATACTTACATAAGTAATATATTTATATAGTATACATTGATATGTTATATTTGTATATTATTTGTATGTAAATTGACAGAGGTGCTAAGTGTTATGAAGTGAAGCTAGAGAAGTCCTCTCTTGATGAGGTGATGTTTTAATAGGGACCCAAGGAAGCGAGGGATCAAGTAGACATTCAGGCAAAGGGGACAAGAAGAACAAGGTGCCTAGGTTGGGAGTTTTTCAGCTCCTACCACTGTGGTTATTGCAGAATGAGCAAAGAGAGAATAAGCAGAGATCAGGAGAGGTATAGGAATATGTGTTTGCATGCTGGCTGCTTTTTGGACTTGGGGGTGTATTTGCAGGTGATTTTTGGTCTTGTGGGCCTTCACACAGGTTGAATTCTATTCTGAATGAGATGTACATTGGGTGGTTTGAGCAGAGAGATATGATCATGTTTTGTAAAAGATCTTTCTTGCTCAGAGGCTCCTAATTTTTGTCACATCCTAGTGTATGGGTGCTGCTGCTCCGCTGGATGAGCAGCTAACCAGGATGGTAAACTCACCAGTAATTAATTAAAGGGACAGAGTTTTTAAAAGGAAGATACTTGGGCTGGGGATTTAGCTCAGTGGTTCCGCCACCCGCCTTGCAAGTGCAAGGTCCCGAGTTCAATCCCTGGTACCAAATACATAAATAAGTAAATAAATAAATAAATAAATAAATAAAAGGAAGACACTTTATTTGTAAGGAGGAACAAGCAGAAGACAGAAAGCTAACCTGAAGTGGAAACGGGATGCTCCAGAAAGATAGATTCCCCTTGGGCCTTTGTCTCCAGCCTCTTTTATTAGGTGCCAGGGTCCCTTCCCCCCTCCTTGTAATTTGTCATAACCCAATTGGCTCTGTGGTCTGTCCCTGAATTAAACTGGGGCCCCTTGCCTACATTTGCATTTCTTTTAGTGGGCTCTGTGTAACTTCTTTCTGCCTGTTTGTCCTTGGCAGGGCCTTGTCTCTGGGGTGAGCAGCTGGTTGGGTAGGAAGAGCCTTATTCATGGTTAGCTTAGAGTTAGTAAGGGGATGTGTGTGTATATATCATAGTAATATAGTGACCCTCAGGTGAAAAAAATATATGCATAGGTGTGAATATATATTTTTATACACTGAATAAGACCCTTCACCAGTTAGGCAGCCCCTTTCCCCTCTGTCTCCCCTGTATTCTATTGGAGGTGGGGAGGGGTGGCTATCTTAGCTTCTTGGCTTCGTGCCTTGGCTTTGTGTTCTGCCTGTCAACCTCTGTCTATCTGCTTCTGTCTCTGTCTCTGACAGGTTCTAGTGCCACCTGTGCTATCTGGTGCTTTTTCACCTCTGTTTTCAGGGGAATTTCTCTAGTGGAACTTTAACTCCTTCTAGTCAGGATTAACTAGAAAACCTAATGAGGTCCTTATTCTATTCTTTCCCTGCCTACAGAACCTGCCCCTACAATTTTGTATTACTTTGACAGAATTTAGGGAATCTGTAAACTTGTATGAGAAGAAAAAAAAATTAATAACCTCTAATTGAAATTTTACATTTTTTCCTTTTGCAATATGTGCAACTTGCCATAGTTCCTGGATGGAAATTTCATGCTATCCACTTGTGGAGTCAGGCTGTGTCACTCTCCCAGCATCTCACCTGGAGAGCTCTATTGAGCTTTGGTGTTCAGAGGGGTTTTTTTTATATGTCTGATTGATTAAATCATTGGCAGCTCAATCTCCACCCTCTTTCCCCTTCCAAGGGTTGGAGCAGCTGAAAGTTCCAACCCTCTAATCACACATTTGGTCTTTCTGTTGACCAGTCTCCATCCTGAAGCTTTCTAAGGACCTACTATGAGTCACGCTCATTAACATAATAAATATAATGCTGTCATTCAGGAAATCCCAAGGGTGTTGAAGCTGTGTGCCAGGTAACAGGGACAAAGACCAAATTTACTTTTTCTATTTAGTTTTTAATTTTTTAATTAATTAATTTTTTTGGTGCCAGGGATTGAACTCAGGACCTTGCGCTTGTGAGGCAGGCACAATGCCACTGAGCTAAATCCCCAGCCCAATTTTTTTAGTTTTTTTGAGACAGAGTCTCATCATGTATCCCAGGCTGGCCTCAAATTTGCAGCAATCCTCCTGCCTCAGCCTCCTGAATGCTGAGGTTACAAGCATACCACCACTATTCAGTTTTCTGTTGACCGTGTCATGAAAAGTGGTTTAGTCAAAAAGACCAAAACCTGTGCCATCATTAGACTCCTCAGATTCTACTGTCATTGCTTCTTTTTTCTTCTTCTGAGCTGCACAGCAGTGGCAAGGGGGGCAGGACATCCTGCTGGTGCATCACTAGATGCTGAGCAGGTCCATCAGCCTCCACACTGTAGATGACGTTCCCACTGTTGATACTGGCCAGGGCTTTTGCAAACAAGCTAGGCTAGAAGGATTCAACATTTACACCAGATGATTAATAAGGGCACTGATTATCCTCCATGATGATCACCTCATTATCATATATGATGAGGACAGAGTATATGCAGGTGAGCTCAGAGATGGAAGCCGTGGTGTGGCTGCCAGGCACCATGGTGCTGGTCACCGGATGGTGAGAGCTTTACCCCATTGTGGCCTTAGCTCCCTCAGAGGAACTGTGCACCTTGGCTGCAGCTGAGAAATGGGGTCCAAATTTATTATGCCACAAAATACTCAAGAATCTTCCCCATATGCATTTTTTGGGAGATATTTAACAGAGGACAGAAATGTATTCACTTTTTGTTATACATAAAGTGTTGATATACTCTCTCTCTCTTAAACACACATACATGTATACTTATACACACACATATATACATATTTATTTACACACACATATATATGACTAATATGTTTTAATATGGAACATGGCCTGACAATTGTGTATATACCAACCTTTCCAGATGACTCATACCTGCATCTATATTTGACAATTGTTGTGGTAACTTATTTCCAAAGTCTCCTCCCTCTGCTTCCTGCATTGTCATGTTAATTTCTATGCATTTCTTGTCCATTTTTCAGACTAAACAGGTATCCTTGATAACTATATGTTATTTATCTACTAGGTATTATTATCACTTTAATTTTTCCATATCTATCATAAAAGTTTAACTTTTCAGAAATAGGAAGGAAAAAGTATTTATGACTTTCTTTTCTTTTCAGATCTGGAATCAATGTGTGAAAGCAAGTTATTATCTCTCAAGAAGGAAGTTTATGAAATAGAGTCATATCAGAAGGAGATAATGGGTCTTACAAAGCATGGCCTTGAATATTCCAGTTTTAGAGATCTGTTGGAATATAGAAACCACTTTACAAGACAATTGGGATACCAGAATGGGCATTTAAATCAAGAAATATTTACTCATGAATATATGCCCACATTTATTCAACAGACATTCCTTACTCTGCATCAAATAATTAATAATGAGAAACCCTATGAGTGTAAAAAATGTGGAAAGGCCTTTAGTCAGAGCTCACAATTTATTCAACATCAGAGAATTCATATTGGTGAAAAATCTTACGAATGTAAAGATTGTGGGAAATTTTTTAGTTGCGGTTCACATGTTACTCGACATCTAAAAATCCATACTGGTGAAAAACCCTTTGAATGTAAAGAATGTGGAAAGGCCTTCAGTTGTAGCTCATACCTTTCTCAACATCAAAGAATTCATACTGGTAAGAAACCATATGAGTGTAAAGAATGTGGGAAAGCCTTTAGTTATTGCTCAAATCTCATTGACCATCAACGCATTCACACCGGTGAAAAACCATACAAATGTAAAGTATGTGGGAAAGCCTTTACTAAAAGCTCACAACTCTTTCAACATGTGAGAATTCACACAGGTGAAAAACCCTATGAATGTAAGGATTGTGGCAAAGCCTTTACTCAGAGCTCAAAGCTAGTTCAGCATCAGAGAATCCATACTGGAGAGAAACCCTATGAATGTAAGGATTGTGGCAAAGCCTTTACTCAGAGCTCAAAGCTAGTTCAGCATCAGAGAATCCATACTGGAGAGAAACCCTATGAATGTAAGGAATGTGGCAAAGCCTTTAGTAGTGGCTCAGCACTTACTAATCATCAGAGAATTCACACTGGTGAGAAACCCTATGATTGTAAAGAATGTGGGAAGGCTTTTACTCAGAGCTCACAACTTCGTCAACATCAAAGAATCCATGCTGGTGAGAAACCTTTTGAATGTCTCGAATGTGGGAAGGCCTTTACTCAGAACTCACAACTTTTTCAACATCAGAGAATCCATACAGATGAAAAACCATATGAATGTAATGAATGTGGAAAGGCCTTTAATAAATGCTCAAACCTTACTCGCCACTTGAGAATTCATACAGGGGAAAAGCCCTATAACTGTGAGGAATGTGGGAAGGCTTTTAGTAGTGGCTCAGATCTCATTCGCCATCAGGGAACTCATATTAATGAATAATAGAAATTATAGCTCTTGTCACCTTCTTAACATTTTAAAGAAAAATTGATATTTGATAGTTACCCTTTTCCACTATATTGTTTATTTTATATTTAATTTTGCAGTCCAAATGAATTTCATTTAGGTTATGAATTCAGAGTATAAATTGACATCCTCCAGTCTTGTATCAATGCAAATTATACAAAAATTATTTCCCCATTGTTTGGAGATGCATTATATTCTTGTTTATACAGTAGACTGTCAAGTTACAACTGGCCTAATATATGAACAACTTGGGTTAATTAGGTTAATGGAAGAGTCATCTGCCTCTTGTTATCTAAACCATGTACCCAGGTAAACATCAGATCTCAGCTATATTGACTTACATCCAGTTTGAGTTACAACAAGCCCTTGGGAACTGATTGAATTCCTAAATCAAGGGTCCACTGTATTTGCTTATGTTTTTAGGATGTTCTTCTCTTTTTCTGATCTATATATTTGTGCTTGTACCAGTATCACACTGTTTTGTGTGGCATTTGATAATTTTAAATTCTTTGTGGAATTATAATTTTGTTTATGAAGTCAGTATTAATCTTTTTTTCATTTCACTAGTTTTTCTTTTTATCAGTGAACATTGAAAATCAGAAACTAAAAGTAAAAATTAATTGTAATCATACTATCGACTATGCTCAGTTTCACAGAGCAAATTCTTCTAAACTCTGATTTTTAAGGAAATATATTTTGGTATGCATGCTGTACCTTTACCTGCTTTTATCATGCCAAAAGTCATGGTTGCCATTTCAACAAATACAAATTTTATTTTTAATACATGCTTAGTAACTTTAAAATGGCTGTTATTCATGTTATGGTTGCCTCTACATTTTTGTAATTATAAAAGTTGTCTTCATTAGTAAAACCCAAAATTTATCTCTGGATGCTTGGGGGTTTTTTCTTTTAAAACATTTATTTTAATTGCTGAAGTTATCCATATTTTCTCCTTACAAACTATTTTGTTCCTTTTCATTAACTCAAATCCTAAGGCCATGAGAAATGTAGTTACTGTTATGAAAGTGTTGTTTATTTTTCCATATATTTAAATTTTTTCTCATACATATTAGTGGTGTTTTATTTCTTATGTCTAAATATATACAGTCACATGTATGCATTGGTTTACTGTGAGAAATCAATGAATAAATGTAGGGTTCTTATACCTCTATCAGATAGTATATGTTTAATAAAAGTTTTTCTAGGGGCTGGGGATTTAACTTAGTGGTGCTGTCACCTGCCTTGAAAGCACAAGGTCCTGAGTTCAATCCCCAGTACCAAAAAAAAAAAAGTTTTTTTCTATTATTATTGATATAATTATCATAATTATCTTCATTATGATTTGTGGAAAAGATTTTAATCATGTTGCCTTCAATCAGAGTTCATAATGGAAAAAGAGAAATAGTTGTAGTAACTATAGGAAAGACTCTTTCCTCCAACACTGCTATTATTCAGGATGGAATTTAATAAGGAAAAAAGTATATATGGGTTGTGTTTATTCAGGCTTCATCTTTTATGCTGTACAAACAATACCAGTCAGAAATCTTAACGATAGAATGATGGATAATTGAAATCACAGCTGTCAAAACAGCAAGAAGAAGTGGGTGTGGTAGCGAACACCTGTAATCCCAGCAATCAGGAGGCTGAGGCAGGAGGGTCTTCATGAGTTCAAGGCCAGCCTGAACTACATAGTAAGACAGTGTCTCAAAACAACAAAAAAACACCACTACTACCACCACCACCACCACCAAAACAGCAGAAAAAAATAAGAACATTTTTCCTAATTTTTTTCAAAGAAGGAAAAAGCATACAGGTCACATTCTTTGGCCAGAATGGGGAAAACGGTAACAAGGGAGCCATCAAATATCTGAGTATCAATTTAATATTCCTTCTTAAGTGGGCCAAGGGAAAAAATCTCTGTATTCATATTCAAATGTGAATGAAACAGAATTAAAAAAAAAAACCAAAATAGCAGTGAAAGCTGTATTGTTAGCATATGTGGTGGTACTCATCTGTAATTTCAGCACTCTGGGAGGCTGGGGCAGGAGGATCATAAGTTTGAGTCTAGACTGGGCAATTTACCAAGACCTTGTCTCAAAAAAAGCTGGGGATGTAGCTCAGTGTGAAGGCTCTGCTCAGCCCCCAGTATTTAAAAAAAAACAAACCCAAAACTACATTACAGGTTTTAAAACCCAATATTCATGAAGATATTAAAATGTTACAAAAATACTGATAAAATCAATTTAGAATCTAAAGAAGTAAAACAAGCAAAAGTGAATTGTGGGAGGAGAAAGATATTAATTACAAAAAGCAGAAATAAGTACCTAAAACAAAATGTAGTTATTTGATGGAAAACAGAAAAAGACAAGCTTTAGTGATTTGGTGGTGAAATAAAAATGAATGACGTTGAGAATGAGAAATTGAAGTGAGTACATTGAAACTGAAAGAACTGTTACTTTTTGTTTGATAAAAATGTTGTGGAAACGGTGTAGATCATGTAACTTTATCAATATGCTAAAAGTCACTAACCTAAACACTTTCTTTTTTGAGACAGGGTCTCACTTTGTGCAGACTGGCCTTGAACTCAATATGTAGCCCAGGCTGGCCTTGAACTTACAGCAATTCTCCTGCCTCAGCCTCCCAAGTGCTGGGATTACAGGCATGTGCCACCACACTTGGTTTAAACTAAACACTTTAAAAGTATGACTATTATGGTGACTTGTAGCCAAGTAAAAAACTTAAAAAATGGTGTGCCTGTAGCCAGATATGGTGGCATATACCTGCACAAAGCAAGACCCTGCCTCAAAAATAAAGTGTTTAGGTTAGAGGTTTTTAGCATATAAAAAACTAGTCAGTTTGGGAAATTTGGCTTTCTCTCTAATCTTGATTCCTCAGAAGGCAAGATATAAAGGGCTTAACTTTTTCATAAGAATATAGAACTTTAACTTGAGTAACTCCATTTTTATTTTTGGCATAGTCTGTTGGGAGCTAGCACAGGAGCTCAGTCCAAAACAATGGCCTCCATTTGGCATAATAATGAATTTTCTTTTCCTTTAATCTTCACAAAAACAAAAGCAAAAGCAAAATACTCAGAAGTAACCTGATGTTAATTAGGTTTTTTTCTTTCTTCTCTCTCCCTGTCTTCCTTTTCAAGGAAAGTAACTCTGATATGACCATCTGATTTTCCTTTCTTGTTTACTTCAGCCTGTTCTTTTGTCTATAACCAACCTCCTCTTCTTGGTTCATTGGAATGTTTATTCTGATTTATAAAGTGTTGCCCAATTCTAGAATCAAAAATAAAGCCAACTGTAAATTATTTGTCCATTGACAATAGTAAGGAATAGTCATTGAGTGCTTCTGGTAGTGTCTTTTTCCTGATTTTGTCAAAAGAATATCAAATTAAAGATTGTTAATGTGCTAGTCATTTTTAGTTTCTTCAACAAGAACTACAACAGTTTAGCAGTTGCACAGCAGTATATATGATATATGTGTGTCCATACCTAGTTTTCTTTTGTGTGTGTAAAACCTGAAAGTTTTAGGGGTTTTTTTGTAGTTGTTGACCTTAAATGCTAATATAGCGGCTGGAATTATTACTCTGTTACAGTGCAAGCTCAGCATGTGTGAGGCCATAGGTTCACACACATGCACACACACACAAAATAATAATCTGAATATTTACATTATGACAAGGCTTTGGAGGTGCTTTGGTGGTGAGGTTTGGAAGTAATAGTTACTGGGAAATTGTGGTTATTTAGGAAGTCAGGAAAGGAAGAGATAAAAATCATTCACCATTCAACAACTTAGGGAAAGCTCCTAAGGCACTCTTTCTGGCTATTTAATGCCCAGAAGCTAAGTCCTCACCTTCTACCTATGGGTGCAGGCCAGTGGATACCAGTGAGGTTCATATAACTGATCAGATCTATTCATACCTTTCATCAGGGTTGGGGCTATGGGTACAAAATTTAAGGAGGCACCAGAAAACCCAAGATAAAAACAAAAAACCCCACCTCTGTTATTAAGATAAATAATATCTTTAAAATAAAAAATAATGCAAGAAATCCATGGTGAATGAAACTTAGAATTATGCCTCCTCAAAACTGGCTTTCTACATGCCAAAGACCAAAACTAGACCCATGTCTCTCACCATGCACTAAACTGAAATCAAAGTGGATCAAAGATACAAATATTGAAACAGAAACACTGAACTTGCTAGGAGAAAGAATAGGTAGAACACTTGAGGACGTAGGTGTAGGTCAAAACTTCGTGTATAAAACCCAGACTGCATGGGAAATATTGCAGAGAATCAACAACCAGGATTTCATCTTATTAAAAAGCTTTTGGACAGCAAAAGAAATCACTAACAGTATGAAAAAGTAGCCCACAGAATGGAAAATTGTAGCCTGTGGTTCCTCAGAACTAATATCTAGAACATACAAAGAACTGAAAAAAATCAGCCTCCCCGAATTTAAAGACCCAGTCCAAAAAATGAGCATCTGAGATGAATACACACTTCTCAGATGAAGAAGTAGAAATGGCAAATCAATACATGAAAAAATGTTCAACATCATCGGTCATTTGAGAGATCCAAATTAAAACAATGCTGAGATTCCATCTCACTCCAGAAAGAAGGTCTATTATCAAGAAACCAACAACAAATGCTGGTGGGGCTGTGGGGAAAAAAGAACCCTTCTCTCCTGTTGGTGGAAGTGTAGATTGGTGCAACTACTGTGGAAATCAGTGTGGAGATTCCTCAAAAAACTAGAATAGGGGCTGGGGATTTAGCTCAGTGGTTCTGCCACCTGCCTTCAAGCGCAAGGACCCGAGTTCGATTCCCTGGTACCAAAACAAAACAAAAATCCCCTAGAATTAGAGGTCCCATTTGACCCAGCTTTCTCCTTTCTATGTATCTTCCCAAAAGAATTAAAACCATCATTTCAGTGAAAATTATCTTCCAGAGTAGTTTACCCCCCTGGGATGGGGTTAATAACTTTACAATTATATATGTATGGTGCAGAATTTCATCCAAATGAAGTGTGCCAGGAGTGTGATAATTTAATCATATTTAAAGAAAAACAAAAAGACTAATGCACAAATTTGCTGCTGCTTAGATCACTGCAGCTTCTAGGACCCAGTTTCTTTTACTGATTTAAAAACAAAACAAAAAAATTAAAATAAAAAACAGTTGTGCCTGGAAAAAAAAAGAATTAAAACCATCATATCATATCGATATATACACACCCATGTTTACAGTGGCAGTTTGTAATAGCTAAATCTTGGAAACAACCCAAATGCCCATCACTCAATGAATGGATAAAAAATATGTAGTTTTAAAATATAATGGAATACTTTTCAGCCATAAAGAAGAATAAACTTGAGACATTTCTAGGTAAATGGATACACCTACAGGCCATACTCTTAAGTGAAATAAATCGAACACGTGTAAATATCACATTGTCTCTCTGGTGTGAGAAGCTGGAAGTATAAATAAGGACCAAAATATATAATATATAGAGTGAAATAGGAAGAAATTGTTCAAAATTATACCAAGCATGAGATATTTTAATAATCAAAATGTTTTATGCAAAAAAGCATCGTATTATTAGGAAATGAGCTGAGAGATAATTAGAAATTGAAAAATATATTCTTTTAAGATCATTATAGTGTATTTACCATTGTTATTCTTTTATTCTTTTTGTTATTAAAATTATTTTTCCATAGAACTGTTTTTATATTTCCTTTATTAATATCTACTTGTATTACATTAAAAATTTTTTTAAAAGACTTATGCCTTCTCTTTACCCTTATCCCTACCATCAACACACCCATTGGAAAGGATATTTCCTCCAAGCTTCATCTGTTTTCCAGCCTCCAATATAAACTTCCGAGGATCTTCACCGACACCATCATCAGGGGATCTTTCGTTGTTTGCCCTAAACCCAGCCACCTCCTAAAATCCTGAGAACACAAGACCAGAGTCTCCCTACCCCCATTTCTGGAGTTTGGACCAAACCAATACCGTCGTTCGGAAAATTCTTGGAGTTCTGTCAATTCTGGCCCATTCTCCTACTCTCGGGAATACAGAGCCGGTTTAGTCCCAAAACCCAAAGTCGATTCATCCTACTCTCCCACCCCGCCAAAGGTCTTGCCCTGAGACACGCCTACACCTTCTGGGTTTAGGCCTGGGCCCTACGGACCTGGTTTCTGTGGGCAGGGCGCACGCCAGCAGAGGCTTTCCTGAATGAGGTTAGCTCACCTGTGGCCCTGAAGATCAATGCGTACCGTTTGAATCCTTGGGCATTCCTGCTATGCTCTGTCAGGTTGTCGATCTCATTGTCCCTCTGAGGAGACACCTGTGAACCTCATGGTTTATGTATCTTAACAAGGTGCTCCTGAACTTGATTGTGTGATGCAGAAGTCAGCCGCACCCTGCCCCCTATGCAGAAGCCAAAGACGCTTCGCCTCTCTTCTAAACTACACTTCCCAGAGGTCTCCGCGGCCACTTCTGGCCTCCCTTTACCGCCTCTCGGGGTAGCGCAGACAAGCAGGGGCCCTACCTGTTGGTAGGTTGCCCTTCTGGCCGCTTGACAGAGACATAGACCTCTCTATGCAGGTCTTTCCTGCACTTCTGCACTTGGTTCTCCCAGCTTCGGCCTCAGGCACCTCAAACTGCATGCCTTGTGATGTGAGTGCCCTCGAGTCAGTCAGCACGCCCACCTGCTTGTTTTACTCTCGGGGATAGAGTAAGGCAGAGTTACGCCTAGAGACAGATCCTACTGCACTACTGGGGGACAAGGGCTTTACTCCATGGTCAGATTTGGAGCTGAGCATTAGGGTACTGAGTCATCCTGGACTTGAGTATTAACACTCAACTTGTCCCTGAATCTCTTCTATTATGTTGTGGCCGCTCCTGAATGAGCATCCCATAAAAGAATACAAAACACTATCATACAGGTTTTGCATGTATTTTGGTACATCAATCCCTTGGTGTTCATGTTGTCATGATTTTGTATAGTGTTGTAAATGGAGCTATATTTAAAATTTTGACCTCCATTGGTTCACTGCTAGTAAATGTGAATGCTATTCATATCTGAAGGACCCTAGTTAGCAAGACAGACTCCATATTGCTGCTTTACCCACCTGCCTGCCCTTTAGATGAACTCAGAAGGAGGAAGCTTAAAAACCTCCTCCCCTTAGAAAGTCTCTTTAGAAATAACAATCAACTATTGTTTTACAAATGTTCTAACAGCAGGACGTTCTGCTTCTGTACCTTTCGTTTACTTTGCTAGTTCTATCCCATAGGGGGGCCTAGAAACTGTTGGCCTCGAAGGTGTATAAAACATGTTTGTCTCCCCACAGTTGGGGCTCGAGTCCGATGCTCGGCTTGAGTCCTGGCCAGTAATAAACACCTGTGTGGATTTAATATCGGTCTCTGGTTGGTTCTTTCTCGCTGGGTGTAACAGTATCTTTGAATATTCTGCCAGATTTTTATTTTCTCTGCATGATCTGTTTTCTCTCTGGTCTTTCTTTAGCCTACATTTTATCTTTTTCAGGTACTGGGGACTGAACCCAGGGCTTTCACACTGAACCACACCCCAAGCCCTTTTTATACTTAAGACATAATATTTTAATCAAATACTTGTTAGTTGTCCATGTTAATTTCTTCCAGTAAATATATATGGTCTGTGTGTGTGTTGTGTGTATGTCTTTTCTAGGAATTACAGTCTCACACCTTAAGCCAGTTTAATTAGAGTTATTAGTTAATTGCTTCAGGTAATCTAAGAATCTTGCAAGAGTATGTTTACTTAGTGCTATTGTTGCCATACACACTTATGCCTATATGCATCCTAAATTTAATACTACACTGTTAAAAATTTTAAGCAGTCATATACTTTTAAAGAAATTCAGAGAAATACATAGAAGTGTGCCTGTGTGTGTTTGATGTCTACTCACATTTCTGGTATGACATAAATTGCCATCTGGTATCATTTTTCTTCATCTGGAAGGGCTTAGAATTTAATAGTCAGCTGGCACTGAATTTTCCATTTTTACTTGAAAATGTTATTTTCCTTCCAGCTTGTGAAGATTCACTGGATAAAGAAGTTTTGGTTAAAATATTTTTCTTTCAGGATTGCAATATTTCTTGACTTTTATATTTTCCTAATTTCCATTGAGAAGTAATCATATGGTTGGTTTTTCCATTATATGTGATGTATCTTTGGCTTTTCAAATCTTTATCTTTGGCTTTCAGTAGTTTGACTAGCTGTCTCTTGATTTTCAAAAAAATGTTTCTACTACTTGGGCATTATGAAACTTCTGTAAGTTATAGTTTCTACTCACTTTGGG